TTCGTTTTCATCTTTTTCTTCAATAGGCAAATCATGTAGGTCCATTATTGATTTCGTCATTTCCTCAACTCGTCTCGCGTAAGTTGAAAGTACATTTAAGGTCGTTACTAGTCTCTTTGAAGAAATGGTAGTCTCATCGCCAGCTATCAAGTCGTTGGCTTCGGCAATTGCAGTCTTCAATCTTTTGCTTGCCTCGATGTAGTTCTTTCGTAGCCGTTGAGAAGACATTTCTGAGTTTTTACTATACCCTTGCCTGGGGGATCTCCAACCACGGAAAAAGTCCGTCAACGCTCTGCTACCATGACGCGAAATTTGGATTGAGGATTGAGTTATGTCTTGCCCAATAAGTTGTTTTAATGTGGAAGCGTATTTATAAATTTAGTTGAGTAAAGTTTAGTAGTTTAGTTTCAAGATTCTTTGGTAATTACTAAATATAAGTTAGGAATGTGATTAGTTCTATGGATTGAACTTAGTTTAAGTTACAAGAAAAATGAACACTTATTTCATCCAGTTTAGTTTTCATTCCAAAAGTTGTTAGTTTATTTACAATCACCAACAAAATATCATCTGTGTTATAAACCATATGAAAATAAAAACATTTGTTATGTACAGTCTTATGGCATAGCCACAGGGGCACCCTGTTGTTAAACCTATTAACTTGGTACTTTCCTGTTAAAGGGAACATTCATTATTATCGATGATTTTTCTCTCGATATATCGATATTTTTGTTTTCCGATCCATTACAAATTGACAACTGATCTTGTTTAGGCTAAAATAGTCTATTATATGGATTAATAAATGAAAACGTTCTAAGCTAACCTAACATAACCAACCGAACTTGCTGTACTATTTAAAAATTCCTTTTGATAACAGAAAAACAAGTTAAACACAGAATTTTTAAATGTTACACAGCAAGTTTGGTTAGTTATGTTAGGTTATTTTTTATAGAACAGTTTCATTTCATTATTGTTTGTTGATACTGAACAAAATTTATCGTAGTTGTCAGCTGATATGTTTCAATTGGTTAATATCGATATATCGAGAGAAAAATCATCGATAATAATGAATGTTCCCTTTAACAGGAAAGTACCTAACTCTTTAATGCTAATGAACATCACAGAATCAAATTGTTTAGTTGAACCAGCTGGTAAGATTCTTTAATTACATTTAAATATGAGTACTCATAAGGTTAACATGGGAAACTCCAGAGCCACTTGGGCAGAGCCCTTTTGACGGATCTGCACCAAACTTCACACAAACCATCCTTGAATTGAAAGTTTCATTACAATCTGTCAAGCGGTTTCGGAGTCCGTAAAGGACAAACAAACAAACATACATACTTTATATATATATATATATATATAATTATTTTATATATATAGATTAACATAAAAATGAACGTACAATAATATCAATACTGGGATGCCAAATCGTCTTTCACTATATAACATACATCCCTAGAAGCACAAATATGTATTTTATAAATATTTAATATATTCAAAGTTTTATATGATGGAACATCAAATAAATATATAAATAATATATTTTTAATTATAGTTTGATATATTCAAATATATATTTAAAATATTATCAAATAGCAATGCAAAATAAAAATTAAATATAAGTTTTGAATACATAAAATAGACTCATTATATATATTGATAAAATAAGTATAGTATCTATAATATACATATTTTGTATGTATATTTTTCCTATTAAATATGTGGTGAGAACATTTTAAATATATATACATATAATATTTTTGAAACTATATTATATATATCATGTATTTAGAAATATATTTGAGATATATATTTTGAAACACGTCAGATGTTTTTGTTAATAAAATAATAGTATATTTGTAGAATATATATAGAATCTATTATAGTTGGCAAATAAATTAATAGCATCTTTTTTGTATAGTGTCTATCAATTTGCACCTGCATTTGCGTTTTTTGTTTTAAAATTGCTATTGTGAAAACGTTAAAATTGAGTAAATAATAATACATACTCTGTATGGAGTCACTCTATCGTGCAGGAAATAAAAAAATATTCATATAGTTAAGGGGGTTAATAGGGTTAATAGGGGGATATGATACATGTGGGTCAAACGAAGAAAGTGGGTTTTTTTCTTTTACTAGCAATATGTGACAATTAATGTGATCATGGAAATCTCGAATGATTGGCTACAAAGCAAAGGGAGCTAGCTAGTGACTGGTGACCTTTTAAGAAACGAATTACGGTTGTATATGACGTTCTAAAATAATTTATTTGATTTACTTATGTCATAAATTACATAATATTTGTTATACTGTAGTATTGAAACTAATTTTTGTAGTTTACTGTATTTGTATTCGTGGGCACTACTCACTATTCACTTTAGCACTATTCAACTCAACTACTTGATGCCTAAACAGATTAACAGAATCATATTATACTGTAGTATTAAAAATATTGTAAGTATTGCAACCATTGCAACTGTCGGCTACTCTTTCACCATTTGAAAACTAAAACTATCAACAATCACGGATAGCTCAAGTGTAAGGCAAAAGGCTCATAAGTTGAAAGAATCAGGTTCGAGACCCATCTGGGCAAAAAAAAAATCGTTTTTTCAAAATTTGTTTTTATGAACTTTAATTAATTTACCCAACTGATAATTGTGCTTTTCATACTAAATCTTTATTATTTTGTGTTTTTATGTTTAGGCCCTATGGGATGGTTGGAAGTGATATTATATACATTTCTTATTTAAATATTATTCACATAAAATATATTATTGGAACATATTTTTTTATTTAATAAATTCAAATACATATTTTTTGTATATTTAATATATTTTAAAAGTTATATAATTTATTTTTGTAAAAAAATACAACCTACTTCAAACGCTCTAAAAAGAATGAAATAATTTCAATAAAGTAAAAACTTTTGTATTAGGCAAGCTCACGTATTTTAAGTCAGCGCGGCTCTATGATGATTTTTGATGCAAAATTGAAAGAAGGTGTCCATATTGCAGGTGACTATCTATAACTAAAGGTGTTAATCTGCATGTCTTTTTCATAGTTATGCGTTAAGTGTTATTTTATTACCGTAATCAGAGATCGGTATTATAGTGGTATTAACGAGTATCTTTAAAAGTTTTATAACGCATTTAAATGTTTCTAACTTGGAAAAGTAACGTTTTAATACTAAACTAGCTTCTTTTCCCTATCATAATATCAAACTAAATTATTTTCCTATTCATATAGAACATTTGTGTGTGTTATTTTCATAATGCATTTATTCTGAAGTAAACATAAAATACAAGAAAATATTTCCTTTAATATAGGTATAAACAATAAAACAGTTCAGTATGTTTTTTATATATTTATGTTATCCAGCTACAATTTATTGATTTTCAAAATACACACACATCAATCATATTTGCAGTTTGAGCCGCGCCGACTTGAAATACGTGAGCTTGCCTAATACAAAAGTTTTTACTTTATTGAAATTATTTCATTCTTTTTAGAGCGTTTGAAGTAGGTTGTATTTTTTTACAAAAATAAATTATTTTATGATTTTTAGTGACTGTATATTTTTTTATATATTAATTACTTGTGGATTTTCGATAAGCAAAACTGTTTGATACAATCAAAAGTTCCACAGAACAATCATTATTTTAAAACTGCTTGAGTCACCTGTTCAGGTTACATAATTAATGGGTATGGAAATAAACATCTTTACATATTCCTTAAGAAAGAAAGAGTTGTCCATTACATTAGGCCTAATGAAAAACTAATTGTCTTTTCTAGATAAATTGAAATGTCAGACATCATCGTTTCCTACAATCGGTGTACTTCTACATTTTAAAAAGAAATACAGTAACGTCTCAAGCCTTTTGGAACAATATGAAAGTTATTCCTCAGCTACCAGCACTAAAAAATCTCTCAAAAGTGGAAAATTGGTCGTTAACACTATAGTACCTTTGGAAAATATTATATGAAAGATTGGTTCAACTAAAAGTGGTGTAAGTCATGTAGGGGGTTTTGTTTGCTCAAGATATAGCCTAGTCGAAATTGCAAATCATCTTCCTCTAGGACTTTCCGAAGCAGGCATAATAGTATTGATATGATATAGTAACTGGGTAGAGAATATCAATAAACATTCCACATCTGCAAATGCATGTTTAACAATTAAAATATTTAACACTTTTAAGACAATTGACGATTATGCACTGTCACACTTCTTAGGTCGTGTAAGGAATAATTGCATTTGATTTATATTTAGACCTGTTTTACGAATGCTTTGGTTTTCACAATACACCTTTATTTGTCAACAATATCATACAGCTATTCACTGAAACATATATGTTTTTGTAAGTCAGAATATTAAATACTAAAAACAGAATTACTGTATACACAAATCAGGTAAAACGTTAAAATACATTTTTTATAGTAACCAAAACAAAATGCATTTTTCTCAATGTAATTCATTTAGGCAATAGTTTATTGGTCAATATGAAGCAACTGTTTCATGAAGAATTGTCTGTAGCTTCATTTAAATGGTTTTAACTAACAGCTGTAGGAATGTTATTATTATTTATTGCCTTCTCTGCACAAATGTAAACAATCTGCACAAATGTAAACAAAATAAATGTTGAATATTTAAGGTTTTCAGAATTTTTCACCGAAACAAATATTATACTTAAACATAATATATAAGGTACCAAATAGAAACTCTCCTGGTTATTTTGGTGGTGGAACCACACTGTTCGGTAAAAGAATCACAGAGAAATTGGTGAACATACATAGAAAAAAAAAACATCGCCGCAAACAAATTGAGAACCTCCTCCTTTTGTTGGTAGTGGGGAAGTCGGTTAATAAAAGGGTCATTAATACGCAATTACGATGTGTAAAATAGATTGTAAATATTTAAATTCACATGCATTTAATAATATATTTTGTGCTACTAGGGATATTACAACTTAATAACTAAAAGTAAATTGTATATGTCTTACCTAAATCCGGCGACACCAAACTCTATTAATTTGTTTAAAAGTTCCACTATCGGTTTTCTGACTGACTCAAGAGCCTGGTTCAAGTCATGCAGGCCATCAAGTTCACATTCTCTTACCTGAAAAAAGCAATAATAAAATTACACTGCTGTAAAATTGTAATAAACAATTTGTAAATTCCATAATTTTTCAAAAGTGCCATTTTTTTTATATTTTATAATAATTTACAAATAAAAAAAACTTTTTTAAAATACCACGTTTTCAAACGCCCTAAAAAGTAGAAAATAATTCATTAATATGTGGAGGGAATAATACTTGTAAAATTTTAAATAAAAAACGTAGGGGGCTTGCAATAGCTAATTTACGATTATCATAACCTATTGAATTATTATTATCTATTGCATGCGCCCCACGTTTTTCGTTTTAAATCTTACAAGTATTTATTCTCTCCACATATTTATGAATTATTTTCTACTTTTTAGTTCGTTTAAAAACGTGGTATTTTAAAAAGTTTTTATTTATAAATTATTTTATACGTACTTTTAGCGAATTTCCCATATAGGGAATAAGCTATTACCGTAGTACTCATGGTAAGACCTGGACGTGGGACCGATTTTTTTTTTCGTTTTGAGGTCCCTAGAGGCCAAAAACACCATCCGTTCAAATTCATATATATATATATATATATATATATATATATATATATATATATATATATATGTGTGTGTCCGTTAGCACGATAACTCGAGCAAAAATGATCCGATTTTGATGAAATTTGGTACAAACGTGTAAACCTACGTTTATTCGAACGAGTTCGCGATCCAGCATGATCGGACCATGGGAACGGGGGTTTACGGGGGGTTTTATGGGGTAAAAATAGGTTTTTCCCATTTTTGACCCAAAAAACATAAAATTTAGCAATTTATTTCCAAACCATTTTGTAGAGCTTAAAAAAAACAAATAATTTAGTATATTGAAGCGTTATTATGCGCTAATGGTTACAGAGAAAATTCCAAAAAATTGTAAATTTAAAATTTCCATGTTATTCTTATGGAGAATAAGTAAACTGTTGTAGTTAGCTTGTTTATGAACATATTTTGATCAAATTTGGAAAATGTTTTTATTTCTTACTAACTATTAACATTTACAAAAAAAACAGTTTTACCCTCCCTGATGCAGCAAACCTAAGTACTTGTTAAACTAATTCTATTTAAATTTGGAATAAATGTTATATTTTTAAGTAGACATTTCAGTGTAAATCCAATCAGTCAAATGGAAATTCGCTTAGTCTGCAGGTTTGCTGCGGCGGGGGTATTTAGTCTTTAATGTGTAAAAATGTTAAAAATAGATTTTATGGCTTATAAATACACAACCAAACCTTTCTGTAATCACATGTTTTTGCTACTATTCTCATTATCATAAAACTTTAGAATCTCTTGGGAGCATAACCTGTACCTCTTAACATCTGCTCTTTGAACAAACTGTCAAATTTACAGCTGACTTTAATTGATATATTTACATTCATCCAAAATGTAACATAAAAAATTTGGAAGCGCAAGGGAAATATGAATATAAAATGATTTAATATTGCATTGTCATCCATTTGTTAGCTATATTTCAAGTTTCAAGATCCTAGCTCATCGGGAAGTTGGTTTAAAATCGATGGCAAAATTTGTACCTAACAGACAAGAAAGCGAGCTAATAAAAACGTTTTAAAATAAGCCTCCAGCACCCCTACATTTGGCCGTGGTTGCTATCTAATGACTATACACTTACTACACATAACACATACCTGTCCTGCATCTTTGTAGTCTATGCCGTTACAATATCGATCGTGGAAGTCTTTAGATGAGTAGGGGACCCCTGGGTAAGATTTGTCTCTAGGGTAACACATTGTCCCTCCAAAACCACGACAGTTGTCTCTATCAGCTGTCATATGGTTGAAAACTACATCAGCAAACACCCTGTAAAAGCAATATAGTCCAGTAAATATGGCAGAAAATACGGGGTTGCTGTGAAAAAGATCGGGTAGTTATGATTTTGGTGAATTTTCCATATAGGGAATATAGTGTAGTCATTTTAAATCAAAATTTCCCCATTACCTAAAAAAAACTCTTATAAGTGTAAAACGTGATACATATACTGAACTTTACTTCTGGAATAACATACTAAATGTCCTCGAAAAAACTTGTGCTACGGCCGCCATCTTGGAAAATGGCGTCCAAAAACCAGTTTTCCCCAATTACTCAAAAACTATTCATCCTATAAACATTAAATATAAAGAATGTTCGCTAAAGAAAGAGCTACAACTTGTAGAAAGAGCTACAATGTTCATTTATAGAATATTTCGATATAACTAACCGTTTATCCATAAAATGCAATATTTGGAAAATAAATTAGAAAATTCGTAAAAGAACATAAATTGCTATTAAAAAAGGATAAACTATTAAAAAAATTATTTGATTATTTTTATTTAAAAATTGGAATTTTCTGAACAGTTTCATACCTTTAACATAACTTTTCCTTTTCATTTATATTTGCTGTGACATTTTAAATGGTACACTGCTGATGCTTTCGTTGATAGACTACTGGTACCATAATAATCCCATACTGAGTTCATTATGGTACAAGGATGGGATTTGATATGTATGTTTTATTTAGCTACTGCAATTATGAAAGTAATGTCTTTGATCGTGTTCTAGTAATTAACCAAAAACTCCAATTGCCCATATAAAACTCATGTTAAACGCACAGTATCATGGGAATAGTGTATCTGCATCCACTAATCTTCAGTACTGCATGTTTAGCATGTGTTTTATATGGGCAATTGGAGTTTTTGGTTAATTACTAGAACACGATCAAAGATAGATGGTAGGTTTAAATTTAAAAGTTGTTTGTTTTTACAAGACCTTAAAAATGATACACAATTTTACATATGTTGCCATTTAAAAATTTCCCATTTACAAGGCTACCAACTAAAAAAAAAAATAAAATCATAGAAAAAATATTTAGTTTTTTAAATGTTGACTTGTTGTATATAAAATTAAAGCTGAACCTACGAGGATTACGAATTTTCAAACAGAACGAAAATAAGTTTAGTGGTTTTCAAGATACAGGGTATACTGTAAGTATCAATATTTTCTATAAAAATGGCCACCATTTTGAAACGGACAAAGATCAATGAGTTCTGTTTTCACTAAATTATTTGTCTAGTCTAGAGGTTTAAAATGATGCATAATATGACATATGTTTACATTTGAAAACTCTGAGATTCGAACCCATGACCCCCAATTTCTTGAACACCCTGTATTTTAAAAATGGTAAAACTATTTTTAAGTTATTCGTTGGGTATGAGTTAGTGGGGAAAAGTTTTGTTTCATCCCTGTATGTCAAGCCATTCGTCTGTAATCTTTTTAGGGCAGCTTAGAAGATTCACCCTGTATATATATATATATTTATATATATAAAAACATTATTAAAATCTAAGTACCCTTTTAGCGAATTTCCCTATAGGGAAGTAGCTATTACCGTAGGTCTCATGGTAAGACCTAAGCCCGGGACCGATTTACTTTTTCATTTTGATGTCCCCAGAGGCCAAAAACACCATTCGTTCAAATTTTTATATATCTATATATAGAGATATATATATATATATATATATATATATATATATATATATATGTGTCCATCCGCACGATAACTTGAGTAATTTTTGTCCGATTTTGATAAAATTTGGTTTGAAGGTGTAAGGCAGGATAAACTTGAACGAGTTCGCGAACCAGCATGATCGGACTATGGGAACGGGGGTTTATGGGGGGTTTTATGGGGTAAAAATAGGTTTTTCCCATTTTTGACCCTAAAAACACAAAATTTCACAATTTCTTTTTAAACCATTTTGTAGAGCTTAAAAAAACAAATAATTTAGTATATTGAAGCGTTATTATGCGCCTAATTGTTACGGAGAAAATTCAAAAAAATTGTAATTTTAAAATTCCCATGTTATTCTTATGGAGAATAAGTCAGCTGTTGTAGTTTGCTTGTTTATGAACATATTTTGATTGATTTTGGAAAATACTTTTATTTCTTACTAAACTATTTATAAAAAAAATCTTTTTTACCCTCCCTGTTGCAGCAAACCTAAGTACTCGTTAAACTAATTCTATTTAAATAGGAAATAAATGTGCTATTTTTATGAAGGCATTTTAGTGTAAATCCAATCAGGTTAATGGAAATTCGCTTAGTCTGCAGGTTTGCTGCGGCGGGGGTATTTTTAATTCATTTTATTTAACAACGACTAGTTTCGACGATTATGCCATAGTCATGTTGTTTTTATATCTTAACAAATACAATAAACATTTTATCTAAATAATAAATACAATCATATGATTTCATAGGTTTTGATGACTTTAGATTTCTTCTGTTTTAAATGGTCTTTATACTATATATAATAATTTTCTCTCTTAATTTAACTGCAGGATTTTTTCAAATATTGGATTGCATTTGTTGATGTTCATTGTGTTTAGTTAATTTTCTGGTTGTTGTTTATAGTTTTTGTAAATGTAAAAATCTTCTTTAACATGTAATTTTGATTTGTCTTTTTCATATTCAAGGATTTTTAAATTTTCGTGGATGCTTTTGTATTCATGGTCTGTTTGTATTAAATGTTCTGCAAAATTAGATTTCATTGTTGTGCGGTTTCCTGATCTTAATGCTTGAATATGTTCTTTGAACCGTTTTTCAAAAGTTCGACTGTCAGTATTTTATAAGTTTTTTTGTAATATTTTTGTTGTTCTTTAGCTCCAAACCAGTGGTTTGGCTTGGAGCTTCAATGTTCTTGTGATGCGACACAGTAGAATGGATTGTGAATCTATCTGAAAATCTTTGTCCAAATTACGTCCAAATTCATACAAAAAGTAAATCACAAGCTGCAATTCGAACAATTGATACGACAAAAGAGATTTGGGTAAAAGAAGAAATCAACTTTCTATACAGCAAACTAAACAAAATTGAAAATCAAATGACAAACAAACTAAACGAGATTAAGACTAAATTACATTGTGAAACAATAGAAGAAATACTTGAATATATACGAAATTGGATCGAACCTATCATGAACAAAAAGAAGACCACACAAAAAAATAAACTTAATAAGCTACGCAAAAACCAGGTAAGCTACACATTAGAAATAGAAAATGAAATACAACATGAATTCAGTCCAAAATTTAAAAACCTGACAGATATTGTGTTCACAGAAAATGAAGAAGAATTTTTAGGTAATTCAATCAAATATAATTTAAACCTAGACCACCACAAACATAATCTGAAAGAAGATCTTCTTAACTTAGAAATGTCCATAAGAAAACAAAAAGATGACGTACAAGATCCAATAAGACACAACATTATACATGAAATGAGCAAATTGAAGTTACCAAATACACGTCCAAATACCACTAGAAAATCAAGAGAAGAACTATCCTTAATTAATAATATAACTGGAAAATTAAATGAATGTGACGCAATAATAACCAAAGCGGATAAAGGAAATTCAGTCGTTGTCATGAAAAAGAATGATTATGAAGAAAAAGTCAATACATTTCTTGAAAAAGGAAAGTTTAAACTGTTAACAAAAGATCCAACAGAAGAATTTACAAAAATAGTCAACTCCACTATTACAAATTGCAAAAGTATTACACAAAAAGAAAAATCTTCATTGAAAGTACCAAATCCAAAGTCACCTACATTACGAGCACAACCGAAAACACACAAACAAGATATTCCGATTAGACCAATTGTAAATTTCCGTCAAGCACCTACATACAATCTATGTAAGTATTTACATAACAAAATAAAACAGAACATAAACATGAATAATGATATAAATGTAACCAATACATATGAATTAATTGACAAAATCAAAGATATTCACATACCACAAAATTCTTTATTTCTTTCATTTGATGCAAATGACATGTACACGAACATACCGATAGATGACACAATTAAAATAATGAAACAACAATTAATAGAACATGGAACACTCACAACAACTCAAATTAATGATTTAGTTAGACTAACCAAAATTACATTAAACCAAAATTATTTTCAATATAATCAGTCATTTTACATTCAAGAAGACGGTTTACCTATGGGTTCTCCTCTGTCTGGACTTCTAGCTGACATTTACATGAATAATTTAGAGAAAACCAAAGTTTTAATTGAAGGCAACCCTTACAAATCCAAAATTATATACTGGCACCGATATGTTGACGATATCCTTTGCCTTTTTGAAGGAACACAAACAGAAGCAAACAATTTACACGAACACATAAATTCAATCTCGACACAAATTAAATTCTCAAAAGAAATACAACATTCACACATTAACTTTCTAGATATAACCATTTCAAAAGAAAAACACATTCACAGATTTAAAATTTACCGAAAACCAACTACAACAAACAGTATCATACCTTCACATTCTAATCATCCATGGCAACATAAATTGGCAACATTTCATTCGTTAACACACAGACTTGTAAATATTCCTATGTCCACTGAAAACTTTAACAAAGAAAAAAATACTATTATATATTTGGCAGTGAAAAATGGATACAATCCATCTATAATTGAAAACATGATTAAGAAGAAATTTAAGAGAAAACTTCAAACACAAGGAACTACTTCAGGAACAGAAAACAAAAAGAGGAAAGAATTTATTTGTATACCGTACAATACCAAAATTAATAAAGCCCTAAGAAAAACTTTCAACCGTTCAAATGTAATAATCAGTTATAAAACAAAAAATAATGCTTTTCAAATGATCAATAACAAAATTTCAAAAGATAATATAGCTAACCAAAATCAAGACAATATGAGAAAATCAGGTATTTATGAAATCAAATGTTCTAATTGTGATAAATCCTACATTGGGCAAACAAGTCGAACTTTTGAAAAACGGTTCAAA